ATGGTCAAATGCAAGTTTTAGCTCAAGAACATGGTGAATTCATGGATCAAGACCCAAAATATGAACATGCAAGTAGAAATTGTCATGAAACAACTTCACAACTCAAGAATGTGCACATGCATGCATGAATTCCTACTCAATTCAACAAATTAAGCTAATTCATGCCTTAAATCACTAACCTTACCATGAATCATGCAAGAACAACTCAAATACAAATTCAAGAAGATGATTCTCCTACCTTAAGTCTCAATTCAAGATGTAGGAGCTCAAATATGCAATCCTCTCTTCAATTCTTCTAATTCTCCTAGCAAAACTTGTTGAAAACAATTCTCTCCTAAGTCCCTCTCTCTCTAGTCAGTTGTGTATAAGGAAATGGCTGAGGAAATGTGATAAAGCTAACATAAGGACATCAAACAAATGGCTCATGGAATAGTCCACTAAGTGGCATTCTTGTAAATAAGTCCAACTTTGATAATTAGCTTATTTAATCCAAATTAATCATACCAAATCAATTTTCAATTAAATACACCATAAAATCACATAAATTCCAATTAGCATAAAACATTAATCAATTTCAGATTCGACCGCTGATAAGGCCTTCAATTTGCAATTTAAACATAATACATGAACAGATAATTTAACAGTCAAACAGATAGACATGCATTTAATCTACCACACTCAATCAATTAACTCAGAATTTCAATCGATTGAGTTACTTATCATGTTCAGTCTCAGTTTAGCAGTAATCAGTGGTATTATCAGTAAACAGTGGCGAGGGTTGTCACACTTTTTTTCAGTACTAAGTAAACTCTAATCAATTTATTCTCATTCTACTTACAAATCAATAGTAGTGGGGTTTTATTGAGTAGTACTCATGTTTGATTGAGTTGTAAGTCAAGTTTGATGGAGTAGTAAGTAGAGTATAGATGAGGAGTAAGTAGAATCTTATTAAATAGTAAATGTGGTCTAATTTATTAGTAAGTAGAGTCTCGTTAAGTAATAAATAAGATTTAATTAAGTAGTAAGTCAAGTTCAATCGTTAAGTAGTAAGTGAGATTTAATTGAATAGTAAATCAAATCAAATGAAATGGTGTCTTATTGAGTGTTAAGTCAAGTCTAATAAATTTTTACATTTTGATTAAAATTCATAATTTAATAATTTAAAATTAATATTTTTGTTTATCACTGACCATTCATTGTAGCTCTACTTACAATTTGTTCTAATTTTATTTACCACTCAACAATTGTGGGGACATAATTTTCAACATGTCCACGTGACTAGGCTTAGGGCCAAGGTGGATTCCATCTAGTGCACGTGCTTTTCGGCGTTGTTCTCGGAGTTAGATTCATTTTAATTATGTAATCAGATGTTAACACACAACAATAATGGAGTCTTATTGAGTAGTAGTCATGTTTGATTGAGTTGTAAGTCAAGTTTGATGGAGTAGTAAGTAGAGTATAGATGAGGAGTAAGTAGAATCTTATTAAATAGTAAATGTGGTCTAATTTATTAGTAAGTAGAGTCTCTTTAACTAATAAACAAGATTTAATTGAGTAGTAAGCCAAGTTCAATCGTTAAGTAGTAAGTGAGATTTAATTGAATAGTAAATCAAGTCAACTGAAATGGTGTCTTATTGAGTGTTAAGTCAAGTCTAATAAATTTTTACATTTTTATTAAAATTCATAATTTAATAATTTAAAATTAATATTTTTGTTTATCACTGACCATTCATTGTAGCTCTACTTACAATTTGTTCTAATTTTATTTACTACTCAACAGTTGTGGGGACATAATTTTCAACATGTCCACGTGACTAGGCTTAGGGCCAAGGTGGATTCCATCTAGTGCACGTGCTTTTCGGTGTTGTTCTCGGAGTTAGATTCATTTTAATTATGTAATCAGATGTTAACACACAACAATAATGGAGTCTTATTGAGTAGTAGTCATGTTTGATTGAGTTGTAATTCAAGTTTGATGTAGTAACCTAAATATCAATGAGTAGTAAGTTAATTTTCATCGACTAGTAAGTGGGATTTAACTGAATAATAAGGTTTGAAGTACCATAATATCTTCTGTACCATAAAATAGCCTAGGGATATAACTATCTCCTGAACTATTCATTCCATCATTATTTATGAAGGATATAGTTTTTAACTTTGTCACCAAATTGTTTATTTGTTTTTTTGCGTCTTTGTTTGAGTCAATATTTATTATAGAACCCAAATTGTCTATTTTAGATTATATAGACTCAACTTTGGTTTCTAGATAATTTTGATTTATTTTTTGATTTTTATCTAATTTAGAAAACCAAGAACACATAATATCAGTAATATTATTTAAAGTAGAACACACACTATTTATATTTGCAGACTCTTTAGTAATATGCAAACTATGATCATATTTATTATTAACATTATTTTTTGTATTTTCAAAGCATATTATATCTTCAAGGTTAATTGCCATTATAGATTGTTGTTGGTACCTAAGACCCTCCTCTTGTATTATCTGGTGCCTAAAACCTCTCTTTATGATCTTAGGGTGTGTTTGTTTGGACGGACTGGATAAGGGGGGATTGTAATCCATCGGACTGTTAGTCCCGGGATATATTGTCCCGGGACTATTTGGTTGGATTGGATTTGTATCCTATGTTTGTTTAGTCATGAGATTAGATGTCTGGATTGGACTATTTTTAGTAAATCCAATTTTTGGTTAGACGGACTGGATAAGGATAAATGTTCAAAAGACTATTTTACCCTTATAATTTATAATTTTTATTTAATATATAATTTTAAATTTGTAATATATAATTTATAATTTAACAACACTAAAAAATTTTAATTTATAAGGCCATAATTTTTAATTTATATTTTTTATTTAATATATAATTTTAAATTAACAACACTAAAAAATAATTTCATTTAATATAGAAATTTAATTTTTTAACAACACTAAAAAAATTTAATTTATAAGGCCTTAAATTTAATTTACAATTTATAATTTATATTTTTTATTTAATATATAATTTTAAATTAACAACACTTAAAAAATAATTTATAATGTTCAAAAGATTATTTCACCCTTTTCTAATTGTGTTATTAAGTAATAGCATGAAGGTAAAATAGGCATTTCACACATTAGTCCCATAGGATACCAATCTCATAGAAACAATCGCACCCCTCCCCTTAGGATACAATAATCCCTCATATGAGTAACTAATAGTTCAGAGAGACTATTAATCCAGAGTAAAAAAATTAAATCAAACAATGAACTATTAGTCCAAATGGACTAATAATCCAATCCAATAGAATAATTTCTCAAAACAAACCCACTCTTTTATAAGTTTAAAATTCTTATACAAAAAATTCTACCTAAAGTGAACGGCAAACAGATTGATTCTATATAACTATAAAAACTGAAAGGTAACAATTCAAGTTAAATTGTTATAGGTGAAATCTGATTAATTCTTTATCACCTACATCTGTCAAATTAATTAATTGTACAAAAACTTATTTGAATGAAGCACAACATACACCTCTTTATGTTGTTTTTCTTGAATTTTAGAAAGACAAGATCCTGTTGATATGTGAACCCCAGAATGTCCATGTGCTAACTCAAATTCTTGCTTTGTTGCCTTACTAGCTCACTACGAAGAACAGAGAGAGAAACGCATAAGGAGAGACACTGGGTCGTCGTCGTTGTAGTTGCCGGAGTCGACGTTGAGCAACCTCACCGAACCCTTGCGGACTTTCTCTAACTTCTCTCTCTGCTGCTAGAACTAAAGAAAAGAGAGTGTTAATGAGACAAGTGAGAGCAGAAGCAATAGTCCAGAAAACGTGAAGGATGGTAGAGGGTTTTCTTTTGAAAAATGCTATAGATCTCAAATAATCTACTAAATTTTCTAGCAAACTTTTCACATGAAATACACACAAATCTATGGGCGTGGATTTCACAAAGTTTAGTAAAAAATTTGATACATTAGTTGAGATTTCTAGTGTAACTCTTTTTTTTACCGGTTTCAACCGATCACTTAGTTTAACTTGAATGACTCAAATCACTCTATCAAATCTAACGATTGAAATATTTTTTCATGTATGGTACCCAAAAACTACTTTTAGGTACCATAGTCAGACCCTATGGAACATCTTTGAAACAAACAACTAGTTTCCCTTAGAGCATCTCCAACGGTTACTCAAATTTTTCATCAAATTTGAGTAAAAAATGACTCATTTTCCCAATTTGATATCAGCTGCTCCAATGGTGCATCAAAAGTCGTGGGTCTCGGTCGGTGTGGGGAAATTTTTTTTTTTTTTTTTACCTTTTTGAACTGTTTGAACCCACCTATACGAACTGGGTGAGAGGCTACCGGTTGGTCCACCGGCCGGTAAGCTAATTAATTTTTTTTTTTCTTTTTGGGTTTCCCTCCATTTCTGTTCCCATTTGTTTTCCTATTTCTTTTTCCCTCCATTACATATATTTCATTTTGATTTACCTCAAACAATGATTTGCTTCTGAAAGGTCATATAAACACATTATCCATATGCGAGACAACTCCACACAACCGATACGATCATTTTTAAACCAAACAGAGTATAATGAATACCTTCAAAACCATGATATTGACTTCATTTTCATCCTCTTCTTCTTCCTCCTCCTCTGATGATGAGTCTGATGATGAATATATGGTCACACTTTTAGGGGCTTATGAGCAGAATAATAGTAGTATGCTTCAGATTCTTAAGTCAAGTGATAGCTCAAAGAAAATAGGTGGTTCTGTTGTAGGCCATAGGTATATACGCAGAGATAGAAGGCAGGGTCATGACAGATTGTTTGCAGATTATTTGTCGTAAATCCAGTGTATTCACCAACAATGTTTCGGAGACGTTTTCGAATGCGTCGTCCTTTATATCTGCGAATTTTGAATGCAATCCAAGCACATAATTCATATTTTGTTCAAAAACAAGATACAGCTTATGTACTTGGATTATCTCCCCTACAAAAAATGACTTCAGCAATAAGAATATTGTCATATGGTGTCGCAGCAGACGCAGTTGATGATTACACACGTATCGGGGAAAGCACTGTAATTCAAAGTTTACAACAATTTTTTAATTCAGTGATTGAAATATTTGGAGTAGAATATCTGAGATATCCAACACCAACTGACATTGCTAGATTACTTGCTATTGGGGAGGTTCGGGGGTTTCCTGGTATGTTGGGAAGTTTAGATTGCATGCATTGGGAGTGGAAAAATTGTCCAAAGGCATGGCAAGGTCAATATGTAGGCCATCAAAAAAAGCCAACCATTATTCTTGAAGCAGTAGTATCTTATGACTTATAGATTTGGCGTGCATTTTTTGGAATGCCTGGCTCACACAATGACTTGAATGTGTTGGACCGATTGCCTTTGTTTTCTGATCTTGCGCGGGGTAAACCTCCCCCTGTGCATTACACTATTAATGGGCATAGTTACAATATGGGTTATTACCTTGCTGATGGCATATACCCTCAATGGGCAACACTGGTTCAAACAATTTCGTCTCCCCAAGGAGCAAAGAGACAACATTTTGCAATGATGCAAGAGTCTGCCAGGAAAGATGTAGAGCGGGCATTCGGAGTCCTTCAATCTCGATTCGCAATAATAGGTGGTGTTGTACGTTTTGGAGATCCGAAAATGCTTGCCAACATAATGAAGAGTTGCATTATATTACATAATATGATTGTCGAAGATGAGAGGGAGGAGCACCTTGACTTCGATTATGAAATTTCATCAACCAACACACCAGTGCAACTTTCCTCTACTCCTACCAATGACTTCCAATCATTTTTGTCTCGTCATTTAGGTATTAGAGATAAGGATGCATATCATGTCCTCTGTAATGATTTAGTAGAACATATGTGGCATCTTCATGGTGAACACTAAATTCATCAAATCAATACATGTACTTTTGTGACTAGTTTTGGAATGGAAATTGAAATCTTATTTGTAATCTTCATTATGATGCACTATATTAACCAAGTAATTTAGAAGTTATGTGATGATGTGTTGTTGTAATAATCCAATCTTTAATATTTAGAATTGTTCTGTGTTCAGTTTATGAGAATTACAAATGATAATAATAACGTCTGAACCATATAATTTTAATAATCATGTCTTAAATTTTGTGTTCAATTCAGTATTATTGGAACACAAATGATAAAATTGTCATCCATTTATGAACATTTAATAATCATGTCTTAATTAAATGATAATACTACTAATAATTACATAATTATAATGTCTTAAATTACTGATGTTCATGTGCATAATCATAATGAACAACAAATTACTGATGTTCATCTGCATAATCATAATTTAATAATAATGTCTTAAATTACTGATCTTAATTTAATAATTCAGCTTTAATTACTGCATAATCATTATTTGTACAAATTTATACAAATTAATTGATGTGTCATTCATTTACTGATGTTGATCTTGCCATTCATTTTTTTCCTCAGTTGAAATGCATTCAACATATAGAGTTAAAAAATACTTAATAATGTTGCCATTCATTTACTCAGTGAATAAATGCATGCACTGCATAACATTCATGACATACTACAGACAATGCATACTTTGAACCACCTACCATTCATTATGATATATCAATTCCTACCATTCATTAAATTCATTCTACTTACCATGCCTCAGTTTACACACCTACCATGCCTCATTTTACACACCACGGTTGTTGAGTCTTAATTTTCTCACCACCTACCTGAATAATTCAGCCTCTCTATGAGCTGAAGATTGTATACAAAATCAGTATCAACAAATTCACTCTATTCACTCTACAAAATCCGTCCACCACCACCTTCAAATTGAGCTGAACCAAATTGTAATCCCAAACTCTGCAGAACAAGAAGGTAATAAGGCAGCATCCCAAAACATCAGCAGAACAAGAAAGCAGCAGCAGAACAAGAAGGTAGCATCCAAAACAGGGTATGGCACGGGTCAACCGATTGGTCAACCGGCCCTTTGTTATTTTTTATTTTTTTTTTCCCTTTCAGTGTGCATGCTGTATTTTTTCAATTTTATGCTTAATTTGATAAATTTTAACCTTCTCAATAGCATAAAATTCATATTTTAATCAAACTACATTCATGTTCAATATTTTAATTTCAATATGCACTTCTGAAATTCTCTGATTTTTACATTCATAACTTCAATGTTCAATATTTTAGATTCATAACTTCTCTGATTTTTAGTTTCAGTATTTTACATTCATGTTCTATATTTTTACATTGCTAAAGGTTCAATATTTTTACATTGTTCAATATTCATGTTCAGTATTTTACATTCATGTTCAATATTCATAACTTGTCTGATATTTTACATTCATGTTCAATATTTTTACATTGCTAACTTCTCTAATTTTTACATTCATAACATTCATATCTTCAATATTTTACATTCAGAACTTCTCTGATTTTTAGTTTCAGTATGCACTCATGAACAACAAACACTGCATAACATGAAGTAAAATTAATGTGCCATGAAGCATACACCAATTAGTATGTAGTTCAGTATAAAAATGAATGAAGTAAAAACACTGTAATATAAAAATTACTGTACCATTCTAAGCATACACCAATTAGTGCATAACATGAAGTAAAAACACTGCATAAAAATGATTTCCATTTCAATATGCATTTTCCATTACCATGCAAAACCAATTAGCATGCATACTGAATGCTTTCATGTTTTTCCATTATAATATGCATTGTCCTATTAAAACTACAGAATATCTGAGTTCTAAGTTCATGTTTTCATTAACAAACACTGCATATTTTACATTGTTCACCATAACACTAGAACAACACTAAGCTAACTGTAATTCAGCTTTCATATGTAACACATATTCATTAAAATTCAACAGATATTGACATCATGCCTAGAACTAAAAGACCGAGACCACAAGTTGGTGAAAGTTCCAACCCTCCACAACACCAAGAATAGTAGCCTCATATCCTACTGATGATTTTCTCAGTGCAAGTCATGAACTAGCCTTTCCAAACTTCTACAGCCGACCTATTGTAACAGGGAGGAGGGTAGATCTGCCACCTCAATATGATGCACTATTAGTTAGTAAACTTGAAGCAATGGGATGGCTAAATTTAATTAATTTACCCCAAAAGGTATATCCACGACTCGTATCTCTATTTTATGTTCACTTAAGAGCTACTCAGGAAGACGATGGAAATTTTACTCTTTTATCATATGTGAAAGGAAAGGGTGTACAGTTTGATATTCCTACTTTGGCAAGCATTATTGGAGTTAATGTAGGTGGTGAAAATATCCATTATCAGACTCAGGCTGAGTTAGCTAATATTGTTGGTAATGCTACTTATGTATATACTACTATTTGTCAGAACAGATTTATTGGGACTAGTTTACAAACAAGACATTTAAAACGTTATCTTCGGATTCTCCACCGGTGGATTGTGGAAAATGTCACTCCAAAAAAAGGACATCATGATGCGGTCCCATATTTTAATGCCTATTTGTTATACTGTTTTGAAGTTGGCCATAAGTTAGATTTGTGTTACATAATTATGAAAGAAATGATTTTCGCAAATCAAGGTCAATTCACAGGCCAGTCATTACTGTTTGGGGCACTCTTGACAAAAATTTTCAAACATTTTAGGGTTCGCCTAGTAGATGAAATGGAGATCAAAATCCGTTCACCCATTACTCAGTATACAGTGACCCGTGCTGGTGCAGCCTCCAATTTAATGGGAAGTGTTAATGCTTCAGAATATTCAGAAGATGAAGTCCCACGAATGATGCTCCAGAAGATCCTCCTGCCAATGTGATGCTATCAACTGAACAACCTCCATATTGGACTAAGTTTATGGCCGTGGAAGAACAACGTTATAATCAACGCGTTCAATGGGAACAGCAAATGGCTAATCAGGTTAATTCGTTGGGTACTCAGTTTGATACATTTGCCACTGCGCAGAACTCATTAATTCAACAATTTGGTGAGTTTCGTGTAGACATTGAAAGACGTCATGAAGTGGCAAACAATCGCATAGATAGGATTGAGCATCGCGTAAATGACATATACCATCACTACTTCCCTCCTCCACCACCACCACCAGATAATGACTGTTGATGTGTTTGACATTATGTATTTTAAAAACCTTTTGTTAGGTCATTATTCAGTTATGATTTTCTGGTATAAATCATGTTATAGTAGTCATGTTATAAATCATCTGATCTACTACATTCAATAAAGGTTCTCTTACTAGTTCCTTATTTGCAAGTAAGAAATTAATTTTAATGGTCTTTGGTTTTTGATATTTCATTTCTGCACTTTTTATTTCTCAATACTTTTCTCTTCATATTATTCTCTTAAACTTGATGATCCATGAGAGAGAATACATACCTTTTACATTATTAGGTTGAAGTGGACTCTTTTTATTCATTCAGACAAGATAAAAATGTTTTAGTAGTTGTGCTTTCCTGAACATGGCTTAAATTTATTCTTTATGCATTTACATTTCATAATGCAGTGAAAACATGTGTATTGTAATTTTGTGATTAGCTACTGAAATCAACATGTAAGTATTGCCTCTTTGGGGTAAAAAGGCCATACCTTCGCTTGTTGACATGTTCTGCATTTGCAAAAATTTATTCCAAAGGTAAATTAGATTCATACAGAAGAACACAATGCAAACCAAAACATACCAAGATTGACATTCTTGATATTTATTGAATGTTCACAAATTTCATCCATAGTACATCAGGAAGTAAAAACATAATAAAAAAGAACTTCAAAAATTACTAGAAATTATTATATTATTAGTACTAGCAGTTGTAGCAGCCACAGAGTAGGCAACAAAATCATGCTAATAAATCATGTTTAATAAATCATGTTATAAATTATTATTCATAAAATCTGATGTTCAATAAAATCTGATGTTTAATAAAAATCCATAAAATCCATAAAATTTGAACTTTAAAAATGGCAAAAACTATGGCAAAAATCCATAAATCCACATTGAAAATCGAAAATTCATAAATCCACATTGAACTTGAAATATGATGTTCCATAAATCATTATGTTCTATTTAATAAAATTGTGAATACATGATTACTTATGCTTTATGAATAATTGCAATATAACTAACTAATACCACAAGTTAGATATAATATTTTTAGATAATCAAACCAATAGATGAAACCCACTAATACAGAATCTTTCAAGGAAATCTATTAGTTGTTCGAAATAAAATCTGTCGTTGAAGATCTTCGTAGTACGCCCTTTGCATAGGATTTAAAATTGTCATGTCCATTGACATTATTTTATGATCTTCATTTCGTTGTTCTCTTTCATTCATCATAGATAGGTGTTTTAGTTGTTCCTCCCCATCTTCGGCCCTTCTTCGACGCTCTGCAGCTTTCTGCTCACGGTCGATCGCCTTTTGTTCATCTCACTCAATAGTTCTAGCGGAAATAGTTGATAACACTTCAACAATTTTGGATTTGTTGGCAACTATTTTATCAAATCTACTATCGTGCGTTGTTTGATTCTTCAACTTCTCTTTCGCTGCCTTAGTACCAATTGGTCGTGTTGATGTATTAGATGGTTGTTCGTGCACCACATTATTCTGATTGGATTGAAATGCATCAGATTCTCCAGTTGGTGGATTCGAACATGGATAAACATGTTGCGTGCTTCTTTGGGATTGTGTTCGAAATTCATCCCACTTACAACTTCGGCGCAAAATATCCCAACATGTATCAAATGTAAAGTGTTTTTTCTGTATTGCATGATACATTCGCTTCGCTTCAGCGACCTACAAAAAAAAATTACAAACATTTCAATAATAAGTATACATTTAGAAAAGAAAATTGATATTTAATAACACAAA